CTCGCACGTTGTTTATCGGATCCCACCAAATCTCAGATAAATCCAGTACCAAATCGAACAAAAAAAACTATTACTGTCCTGGGTTACTTGGATAGACACTTGTGGTCCTGGGAAGACATTTCTGGGCCCATAACCTTTTGTTAGTAATATTTGTTCGTTAAGTCGGATATATTGAGCCAGCAAGGATGTATACGGGAGACGGACGAAACTTCTACACGTCTTTACCCCACGAAGACTACAGACGCACAACAGTTACAGGGGGACACACATGTTACATAAGGGACACACATGTTACATAAGTGACACACATGTTACATAAGTAGTAATAACTTAGAGGGTCATTGTCAACTAGAACAAACAAACAGTGCCCTCGTATGTCACACTATACCTGTCAGAGGACCAGGAGATAAACATTTTCACACGTAACAGCCACATTCCTAACAATCCCCCGCTTGGCTGTTGCGTGGCCACAGGTTTTTCAATAACAACAGTTAACATATTTAATATTATCGAATATTAAGACCCAATAATTTACAACATTTCTTGTGTTTAATAGGACCAAGTGCCTTTGTCAATACATCTGCGGGCATATTTTCACTCGAAATGTGTTTCAGTTTTATTTTACCTTCACTGACGAGGTCTTTTATAAAATGTAATTTTACGTCAATATGCTTTGCCCTTTTGTGCGAGCCTTCCCCATTCGCCAAACATATTGCTGCTTGATTATCAGAAAATATACAAACCGTTTTTGTTTTAAGTTCGCTTGATAGCAATTCTCTTAATAGCGAGTTAATCCAGATTGCCTCCTTACTAGCGTTGGTAATTGATACATATTCTGCTTCGCACGTTGAAAGGCTAACAGTAGTTTGTTTACAACTTGACCAGCTCACGAGGTTATCTCCTATCTTAAAACAATAGCCAGAATATGACTTTCTGTCATCTTCATCACTGGCATAATCGGCATCGCAGAAACCTAAAATGTCTATTTCTCCGTTTCTTTTATAATTAAGTGTTACATCTGCAGTTCCTTTTAGATACTTGAATACTCTCTTTACTGCCTCCCAGTGAGTTCTATCAAACGCGTTGTTATACTTGCTCAGATGTGACACAATATGCGCGATATCGGGTCGGGTCATTACCGCGGCATACATCAAACATCCGATTGCCTGCTGATAGGGTATTCTCGACATCAACTCAGAATCTATCACCTCAGGTTTCTTTAGTTTTAAGCTATAATCGCACGGAGTTGACACTGCATTACATTTATCCATAAAAAAGCGTTCTAAAATTTCATGAATATATTTCTCCTGGCTTAGTGTAATTGTACCTGTGTTGTTATCCCTTCTAATTTCTATGCCTAAGAATGACTTTGGAAAACCCAAGTCTTTTAGTTTGAACGATTCTGTCAATCTTTGCTTAATTTCGTCTACCCATTTATCATTATTATGAGCTATAATAATATCATCTACATGAATCAACAGTAATAAAATTTTCGTACCTTCAGCCCTATAATATAAACAGTCATCAGAGCTTGACCTTTTCAATTTTATCTGCAACAATTTTTCTTTTATTGTCTGTTGCCACACGCGCCCTGATTGTTTTAATCCGTACAATGCTTTATGCAATTTATAAACCCAGTTTTCTTTCCCTTCTATACTGAAACCTTCTGGTTGTGTTACATAGATTTCGTCATGCAACTCTCCATTAAGAAAAGCTGTCTCGAAATCAAACTGTCTGAGTTCTAGGTTTTTCATTGCAGCTAATGCAAATAGCATCCTAATAGTTGTGCTCCTAGCGGTCGATGCATATGTTTCCCCAAAATCTACTCCACTAACCTGAGCGCAGCCTTTAGCTACTAACCTAGCTTTGAATTTACTTTTCCCTTCTAATTCCTTCTTTGTAAAAACCCATTTAGTTTTTATCGCTCTCTTATTACTGGGCAATTCACATAAAGACCATACCTTTTGATCTTCAATCGCCTTTAACTCAGTTTTCATTGCATTAATCCAATCTTTAGAATCTGCGTTCTTAATTGCCTGCATATATGAAAAAGGCACTTGACCTACCGCATAAACAATTGGATTTCCGTATCTTTGTGGTGGTCTAACATTTCTTCTTAATCGAGCATTTCTAGGGACAGATGAATGGTTCTGCTCTTGATTTTGCTCGTGCTCTTCAGATTCATCATCCAAGTCCTCACAATTGGAATCAGCCCCCGCTGACCCTTGGTGTTCATCTTCGTTGAACTTTTCCTTGTCATCTGAATTAGAGATGGGGAATATGTGGACAGTTTCTCTCAGTTTTCTGTCAAATGTATATCTTCTTGACATCTCGTCAAATTTTACGTCTCTTGATATCACAATGGACTTGTTGATCATACAGTCTGTAAGCTTTCATGGTGAGCGAGTAACCAAGAAAGATGCATTTTCGTGCTCGTGCTTGAAACTTATGCTTTCGTTGCACCTTATGGATGTGTACATAAGCTGTGCATCCGAATACTCTAAGGTGTCTCAGACTCACTTTTCGGTTAAACCATTTCTCATACGGAATATTTCCATTCTTTTGTGGAATTCGATTCACGATGTAAGCTGCCGTTAAGATGCTTTCACCCCAGTACTCCGGTGAAATGTTAGCTTCTAGTAACATGCAGCGGGCCTTTTCCAACAAAGTTCTATTCATCCGCTCGGATTTTCCGTTCTGCTGCGGTGAGTACGGGGAAGTTAATTGGTGAATGATTCCATTTTCATTCAAAAAGCTTTTAAATTGGCTATTCACATATTCACCGCCGTTATCAGTTCGCAAGTTTTTTATTTGTTTACCAGTTTGCTTATCTACCAATCTTTTATAGTTTCTAAAACAATTAAGTACTTCGCTTTTGTTTCATGAAATATACATGAATCCATCCGGAATAATCGTCGATGAAGGTCAGCAAATATTTCGCACCTCCGAGTGATGTCACTCCCATAGGGCCACATACGTCACTATGTACAAGCTCTAGTAGACCTTTTGTTTCTTGATTTTTTCTTTGACCAAACGGCTGGCGTTGACTTTTGCCCTTAATACACACATCACAAGCTTCATTTGATACTGTTTTGTAGTCGATGCTGTTTGGTTTCTCTTTTAATATGTGCTTCATTATGGCTTCACTTGGGTGCCCCATTCGTTTGTGCCATAACCAATATTTACTCTGAGGACTAGCTACATTAACAATGTTCTTATATGTGTCCAGTACATATAACTGATTTACCTTCGTTGCTGTGGCATACATAAGTTCGCCCTTTTTGATGACACATCTACTTCCAAAAAAATAAGTACTCAAGCCTCTCTTAGTAAGCTGGCTTACTTATAGTAGATTGACAGTTGCTTCGGGCACATACCAAACATCTTTTAATGTGCAATTGTAAGGTACACCTTTCACGTTTAAGTGCAAGGATATATC